GGGCGGGCCTGATCCCCAGCCGATCGGCCATTTGCACGTGGTCGGCCGGGTGGATGTAGTCGAACACGCTACTGCCCGTGAGCTCCACCTGAGGGCGGACACACACACACACACACACACACACACACTTGTTGACAAAAAACAAACCAAAACCACACACTGAACACACACCCACCAAGAAAAATCAATATGTGTTATGACAGGAAAATGAAAACCTTGCTGTGGGTTACAATTTCACCAAGGAGTGTGGGCGCTTGTAAGACATTCCCCCCATACACACACGTTCCAAATCTCACAGGAGCAAGTGACGCCAGTAGGACTCAAATAACCCAGCGAGATAAAAATCAATTGTATGTCCTGATTAAAAACGGTTGAACTCTAAATATCTCTGGAGGTCGCATCACTATTCTTTTTCTTCCTCGCCCGTGTTCCACCCCGCTCCTTCATTTAGTCGCCGACAGCAGTCCATCAGTCCATCCCGGCGGGCATAAAGAGCTCAAAGCACCCGGCGTGATCCCATCATCACAATACATCATAGTCAAATCTCCAATCATTTAAAGGCAATAATGGCGCCGCTCTTGCATGGCATCCATAAAAGCAGCACAATCGGAGCAGGTGCGACTCAGCCCGATGCTGAACGTGTAAATGAATGTGTGTGTGTGTGTGTGTGTGTGTGTGTGTGTGTGTGTGTGTGTGTGTGTTGGATTTACATGCAGTTTCTATTACATTTGTGAAGGAGTATGTGTGCGCGTGTGATTGTGTGTGCCAATAGCATTCCATCTGATAACGTTGTGGCTGCAGCAGCCTCACACCCTTGTCTGTAGGACACAGCCATTTATTACCGGATTAGAGCCATTTACTGCGGGCTTTATGGGAGCTTCAGCAGGCCCTCAAGGACAGCCGGGGAAAAGCAGCCCCAGCGCTGCAAGCAGTGATGGGATAGGTGTTGGGAGTCTCCGACAGACTGGCGCATGACCATTTTTTTTTTTTTTTTTGCAATCAACTACCTCGAATAGGTTGGTATTAAAGGGAAACACTTCACTGGCAAGACTCACGACCAAGGCTAGAAATGTGATCGTATTGCTCCTAAGATTTGAAGGTTTTGTTACTTCCTCAAAATAGTCAATGCCTTAGCATCATCCTGCTGACTTAACGTTATTTTATGTTCCATCCCAACTCTGACGCCTGCAACATGCTGGTGTTTTGCTGACTCATGGAGCTAAAAAGAAGTCAGCAGGTTCTAGAGCAGTGATTCGTAAAGTGTAATATTTAAATTGTTAATTATTTTCAGTTTTTTTAAGTACGGTCTCTATCCAGCCAACGCATGTGGTTCTGGAATGCAACTCCAACGATGGACAGACACTTACACTGACAAAATGGCGTGTTGAATTTACTCGATTTTATTTCATCAGGTGGTTGCACACCATAAAATCATCTGACGTGTTTGAATGTGAACTTGCCCAGCTGACAGAAAATTGGGACTTTGATGAATTTGAGAATGAGGATTGATCAAAACCTAATTTGAGTACATTATTCAATACCTCAATAAAGTACAGCCGAACTCAGTTTTGCTCCCACTGCCTTTTGAAAACATACGCTAGCATGCACGCAACCGTATTTTATTAAGCTAGCGTATATTTTACCATGCAATAATACAATGCGTCTTGTGTCTGTGGTAAATACAGAAATAGCACCCGTAACTGACACTACGCCTTTAAATAGGGTGTGCCGTATGATTGTGTGAAAATACGGTATAGATAGATAGATTATTTTTTTTTATAGAAGGATAATAAGTTCGCCTCCGCTCCAGTGAAAGATACAAAATCCCATCGCCCCTTGCAAGTATTGAAGACAACATTGAGAGACAAACAGGACCTCATGGGTTTTACGATGAGGGGGCAATGGAGGGGGGGGGGGGCTTAAGACCTACGCGAATACTATCACTCCATCACCGGCAGGAGGGAGGGATTGAAGACAGAGATCAGACAGAGAGGAGGCGATGAGAAGCAGACGCAGCCATTGAGAGGATGAGTCAGGCTCAGACATAAAAAAACAGGTATAGGATGTGGCACGCACGGGGGGCGGGGGAGGGGGGTAATTGGGCGGCAGGGTGCGGCAACGTGAGGAGACACCCAGATCATTCACGTGCGTGCGTACGGCGAGACAGGTCTGTTTTTAATACCATTGTGTGTGTCATTGTTTGCGTGCCCTGCGCGGACATGCACGTGCATGTATGTACTGGGATGAGAAGGAGGAAGACGAGGAGAAGACCAAGGCGGAGGAGGTGGAGGAGGGCAGCAAGCAGGGAGGAAGGAGAGACATGATATAAATAATAGCAAGGGGGGTTTAATATGTATGAGGCATCCGGGCAGTGGTCCACAACACACTCACAGTCCTCACTGACTGATGGAAGAGGTGGGGGGGGGTGGGGGAGCGGGGGCTGCATACTAACCATTCCCAGATCAATTCTCCTCTCCTCCCTGGTCCGAGCATCCAGCCTTCTCTTCTCTTTTCCCCATTTATCCCCACCCCCCCCCTCCCCGTTAAGTCCCTCCCGCTTCCAATCTCCTTGATTTCATCCATCCTCTCACCCTCCGCTGCTTCCCATCATGCACTCCGCCGCGTGGCCTTATTCCAGGCCGGGGGGACCCCGGTGAGAGGAGCAATGATACGAGTGGGCGTCTGGGGAGCGGGAGCCGTGGGTTCGGCGGGGTGGGGGAGGGGGTGGGGCGTGGGGAGACGGGACCGGCCGGCTGTGCCCTTGGTCAAGGTGTGTGACCTGGGCTAAGCCGGTTAAGCATCCGCTCCCCCCACTGTCAGGGGAGGAACCCGGGGGCAGAGGGGTCAGACGTCAGGGACGGGAGCCCCCCCGACAGAAGGGGGTGGGGGTTCAACATGCCCTCTAAAAGAAACCACCAGTTACACACTTGCACTCGTTTGTTTTTCTGTCCTTCCTCTCTCCCCTGCGAGCGCCTCCACTCGGCAACAAAGTGTGTGTCTGTGTGTGTGTGTTTGCCAGATTTACCTTTCCCTCTCTGTCTTTTTTCCATAAACAGACCAGCACACTGCCTCTCATATGTATATCCTTCCTCCTTAGAATAAAGCCTACATTTTTTTTTTTTTTTGCAGGGTGCGTGGAAGGGGGTTGCTGAAGGTAAACGGGACATTGTGTGCTCAAGGTTTGGGGCGTAATCTGCGATGCTGATGGCTTAGGTCCTGTTTGAGGAGATGTGATGAGTTAGGCCATCTGCTCAGCCGATAAGAACACCTCTGTTTTATTAGCATCTCCACCCAAGCCCGGCTGTCTTGTTTACCTCAGAAATCCCACGGCAAATCCCCTTTCTGCCGCACGTTTAAAGTCTATTTACACACTCGTAGTCGCTCGCTCATCTTCCACCAGCGTCTCTCCGTCAATTTATTTCCCTTGTTACCTCGCTCGTCATTTTTTTTGGGGGGGGGGGGGTTCTCTCATGCCTTTTTACGATGGACATGCGTGTCTTATATGTGAGGGTCAATCTAGAGTGTCAAGGTCTGCTCCTCTCTCCGCTAATCCTTCCTCTCTTTCCAATGCGAGTCTGATTTGATGTTAAGTAGCATTTAAAGGGCAGAGGTGTGCCGCCCGTGTCTTCAGATGAATTTACACTGTAGCTCCAGATGCGCAATACTCATTTTATGCCAACTGTCTTTGTTAATATCATCATAACGCACTTTTGAGACTTTTGCAATTCATCCCCGAAAATCAGAAATTTCAAAACGATCTTCATATTTGTTGCTAGAAACGCATATGAGTCCCGTTTCCCCATGTTTTTAGAAATTAATTAATTTAATTGCAGCTTGCTGACAGGGTGGACATTTGTGGTTCCATGCTCATGCGAACATATTTTATGAGCACGTGGTGGACTTTCACATCGCGACATGATTCAGTTCGCAAGCTGGCTACCGCTTAATAAATATATTTCGAATTCATGAAAGGTTTTTATTTCAGTTGATATTTCTCTTGGACAGAATGGACATTAAGCTTGACAACATCCAACTAAACATGTGAAAATCACAAAACACGAGTGTAAACGTGTATTCTGCATCAAAAAAACAAAAGCCGCGTCTATGCGTTTACATTACACTGACATTGGGATATATCTGATTCATATATGATTTCTATTCACAGTTGGAAGAGGCCAGATCCTGCGGGTATCCAATTCCATGCGTTTTCTTTTTTCTTTCAATTGTGCCGCTTGAGTGCAAAAAATCCAACTTGTGTCACTTGAAGCACGCAGTGTTGATCCAGCCCTTGGGGATGAGGACATTTAGCATCTTGAATGGATAGCCTGCTTGCTTTTATCGAACAGACATTCAGTCAATCAGAAGGGTGCCACTGACAACGGCGGGCCCGATTTTGGATCCCAGTACAAATCTAGCACAAAGCGCAGTCTAACTGTGTGCATTGGTGGAGTTTTGTTTTACTGGACTTTGCGAAGGTAGACTTGGGTAGAACAAAATTGAGATATGTCCGTTTTTACGTCAAGCGTGGCCTACTTTCTGTTATCAAATTATCAGAGACGTCGGGGGCAAAGCACCTCCATGTGCCGGAACACGCTGAGATGCAACACGGCCCCAAACACGGTAGACTTGACTTGCGCTGGCAAGAAAATAAAACAATGCCCGTTTTCCATAAATAGGGCTCTATGCATTTATTTTGGCACCCTTCATGACGAATGAATACACAATAAAGTCGCATTTTGTGGCGATTCTTAAATTGTTGTACAAATGACTTCCTAGGTACAATTCAGTTGTATTTAACTTTTTTGGACGATGCATTTGTATTTAACCTTTAAGAACTGTTTGCCTTGAAACTTTTATTTCGTGACATATTCTCAATTTCAAATAAATCTTTATCAATATTTTTATTTTGTTTGGGGTTTTTTTGTTGATTTTTTTTGCATTTAAATGCAGCGTTTATGTTCATCCTGTGCATAATGTTCCAGTGGCTGCCAAACAACGTAACTCAATGAATCCCAGCCATTTTCACTGGAGCAAACCCCTCAAACAAAGATACAAGGTCTGTTTTCATTTCGCGGTGCCTTCGCAGCGGTGTGGCTTTTGCATGAGGCAGACGATGTGCGTGCACACGGAGCCTCTTTTGATGTCTGCTTGTTACTTTTGCGAAAGCATCCTGCTGCTTTCAGCAACTCTATCTCCCTCGTCATGCTGGAAGCTTTTCGTCCCCGAAAGCAATCGTCACGGGTTAATTGTTTTGATTTCTCCATCGTAACTGGTTCGAAATGCACTCTCTCGTGACTACACGCAACTCCATCTGACTCCACAACTCCGCCCATGCATCCCTCCTCCTTTTCTTCTACTTGTTCTGCAGCATGATTCTGGCTGATCCCTTACGCCTGCTGCCACCTGCTGGACAGATTTTAAATGATTTACAATGCAGACAAGCCGGATCTTTAGTCAGGGGCTGCGTCAGACACTTCTGCACACTATGATGCAAAAAAAATAAATAAATAAATAAAGGAAAATGGGCAGAAGGTCGTAGTGGCTTTTCTTGATGTATTTATACGTCATGGGGAATAAAAGACTGAAATATACTTTTGAAGGGATAAAAGCTCAACTTCATTTTTTTGCTAAACACTTCAGCCACATTCGTGTATTTCAATGTTAGTCATGACATTGTTCAATGTTGCATTTTCTAACCTTGCCGCATGCAATGCTAGTAAATTTGAATTTGACCAGTGACGTTGCAGAATAATCTCTGTTGATAGTGGGAATACATCACCTATGAAATGAATGAATCTTTTTGTTTTTCATTCTGCTTGATTTTTATTATCTTACATTCTGTTGTGGGTTAAAGTAGCTGATCAGAGATTTAAAAACAAAAACAATCATTTTATATTACTGTAAAGCGTGGTCCACTGGATGACGGGTGACATTAGTGCTGCCGACAGGACATTAGTGTACAGGTCTGCGCTCTAAAAAAAAAAGTTTCAAATATCTCCAATGAAAGCCTTTGCAGTGGTTGTTATCTGGAACAGTGTACGTAATCAGGCAGGTAGAACACTGAGAATATTCTTGCACAGCGAAGCAAAACTGGATCACAACATTAGGACGGACTCGAGATAAAGGACAGGCGTGAGCTGACCACAATGACCAAAGATCTTTCAGCCCATACGCGGCGTGTGATTACTGTACTGAGATTGAGAGAAAAATCAACTTAGTTAACATGGCCGCCCGCAGACCTTCAATCACAGCCGATTCCCACAATTAAAATGACTCTAATTTACATCCATTATTGTCACGATCAGCTCATTTCCCCCCCTTTTTTTTCCCCCTCCCTCTGTAACACACTGTCTCCTTCTCGCTTTGAAACATTCCTCCCTTATCACACCTCACCCCCTTCCCTCCACCCCCCACATCCCCACCCCGCCTCTCTCTCTTCCCCTCCCGACTGTCTCTATCTATCATGCCATCCCCCTTGGTGTTTTTCCCCCTCCCTACAATCAATGTGGCTTTTAAGATGCCTATCGATTTGTTCCCCTAGACAGGCCCAGCGTGCCGGGGCGACACTTTGATTGCTGGCCCAGTAATTACTGTTATTATTTATGCATCTGGGCAAAATGGCAGGACTTAACATTCACAGTACAAGAGGCCACAGGCAATCAACAGAGGTGAGCACCTGGAGAGCGAGGGACCTGAAGAGAGAGAGAGAGCGGAGATGCTCTGAGAAGAGGGGCATGTGCGAGGGGAGTCGTCAAAGATGCACACGCACACTTGCACCCACACTCACATGACATATGCTGCACAGTGCTGAAAAAAAAAATGAATTTGACCAGCACCGAATGAAAGCTCCAGAGCTAAAATTATTCCTTCTAACCAAAATAAGAGTTTTAATGCGAAAAATATAATGGTGATTTCTATTCCATTATTTTCAAAAGGCAAAAAAAAAAAAAAAGTGAAATGACATTCTGAGTTCTTCATTAACTCGACGACAGGATGAAACTAAATAGGACAGCGGAATTGACGCAATCATGCATATGTACAACGAATCGTCTATTTAAAAACTGCAGTTGTTTTGTTCACATCTTGTCGCAAACGTGAGTGAGGCTGTGATCACGAGATTATAATTTCGGCATCCTGGGAAGAGACATGAGCGTGATGATTTCGGCATCCTCATACCGAAGACTTCAATCTTGCTGCTCTCTCTTGTCTGCACCCCCTGTATGCTAAATGTCAACGTAACCCTAGTTAGGAAATAATATTTTATCTCGCCTGCTGCCTGAAGACAGCTGGGATAGGCTCCAGCACGCCCGCGACCCTTGACCCTTTTGAGGATAAAGCGGATCAGAAAATGGATTCTTGTTCTTCATCACATTTTAATGATGGCTTTATTGATCAGCACTTTGTTTGGGTTTTTTTTGTTTGTTTTTGCTCTAGAAATAATGTTAAATTGGGCTGAGAGTTACTGGTTGAAAGTTATGTTTAATTAATTTCGCAGAAAGGGGGACTTCATTTCAAACTCCCCATTCCTGTTGAAAACGGTAACATGTCAAGAGTTCACTGAAATTAAAAGTGTTCGCATCAAAGCAACTTAACGATGCTGCATATTTGTGTGTGTGTAGGGCTGTGTGTGCATGTGTTTGTGTGTGCATGTATATCCCAAAGTAAAGCTCCAGTACTACTAATCATGTTTAAACCTGCATGCCAATTAATAAGCGCTATTAAGGGTTTATCAAGATGACTGTTGCATCCTGTACCTGATGATTTGTATTTCTATGAATTTTTTAGGAAAAAAAAGTAGGTTTCACAAGAATGAAAGATTGATGAAGTTGACTGAATGAATGATAGTGTGTGTGTGTGTGCTGAGTAGTGTGTGTGTGTGTGTGTGCGTGTGTGTGTGTTTGTGTGTTGAGTTTGCCTTACCTGCGAGAGTCCCAGGTAGATCGAAACCGTCTCTGAGATGTAAAGAAAACGTCCCTCCTGGCTGACCACGAACACAAAGCCGTCCAAAGACTGCGCGCACGCACACACACACACACACACACACACACACACACACACACACACACGACCAAAGGCAATGAGACATCCAAATTAGAGCAATTAGTATGTATCGAACAAATTACAATGGGGGAACAAACAACCCGTCACCCCTCGGCCTTTTCTTAATTCAAAAATACACACACACACACACACACACACACACACACACACGGTATATAGATATATGCCGTAAATGTGATGGCACAGTCATGCATGTTAACAAGATCTGCATTCCTCGTACTTTTCACAAGGCAGGCTGAAATGACAAAAAGCTCCATGTTCCCAACAAACAATAAAAACGTGCAGTTACACACACGCACACGCGCACACACACACACACACACACACACACACACACACACACACACACACACTTACACACACGCACACATACGCACACCGAAAGATAAAAGCATAGAGGAGACTCAGAGCAGTATAGTACACGGACCAGAGCTGCTTCAATCAGATGTAATGAACTCACAACCAAAGCAGAACACTGCATCTCTTGACACATACGCGCGCACACCACCGCACACAGGCACATACATATGCAGACAGCAACAGAGACACAGATAAAACCAGAGTCATTACAGTCTGCGGTGAGTCTAATGAGAAGTGAAAGGTATACAACCAGCCCATTAGAGAGGACTGCTTCACAGAAAAATATTAATCGTCACAACAAGCTTACACACACACACACACACACACACACACACACACACACACACACACACACACACACGCACACACACAGAGCAGGGCCAGTCCGCTATAAAGAATGATTGCTATTTTGGCGGGCTCGGTGCTTAAAGTGGCAGCGGTAATTTATGCAAGTGACACATTCAGTATGCAAATGTGTGGCCGTGCGGGGTGTGGGGAGTCGTGTGTCGTGGCGAGGAGAAAAACCAGCCGCCTGAATGTCGGAGAACTAAAGTGCAATTATCAGGCTATTACGGCCGCAGGACGGCTGGGGAGGAAAGAATCATACAGTTTTTTTTTCTTCTTCCGCAGCATTAATTTGATTCCTATCAACGCCGCTCCCTAAGTCTCCCACCCCTCCTTAAAATGCCAGAGGACAGCGGACGTGTGCTTCTTTCTTTTTCTTTATTTTTTTTTTCCACAAACTGTCTCACTTGGAAATTCCTAACCTCTCTCCACCTGCTCCCACGCCTCCCTTATTCCATTCCTCCCTTAATCCGTGTAGTTCCCCCTTATCCCTCGCTGCTGCGCTTGCTCTTCCAACTGGCGTCCTTCCCTCAGCCTCTTCCTAATCTGCGGTGTTACCGACATACTGCACCCCCTTCCCCCCCTGCAGCCCTCTTGCGCCACACTCCTCCAGCCTACAATTCACCTGTGCAAAATGTACACAGGTCAGCTAAAGACGCTGTCTGAACATCTGAAGTTCATGGCTTAGTGATGTGACCATTACTGTCTTGCGAAGATCGTTGGGAAGATGTGTTGCCGGCTACTGCAGGAGCGGGCGAAATATGGCCCCGAGGGCGAGCGACGCGTTGATGGCACTCCACGCTGATCGTGATAGCTTGAAATCAATCAATCGCCAAACATGTGTTTTGGCTTGAACAATATGGACGGCTCGCTGAAATCAACAAGTGCTGGCTTTGTGCAGCAAACGTTGCCTCGAGCATGTGAAAATATTGGACTAAAAATGAGACGCCGGCGTGGTCGCTGACTAAATCCAGAAGTCAATTTTCAAATCTCACAAATGCACGCCTATCTAAACAGGCAGGTTTGATGTTAAAAAAATAATTTAAAAAAATCCAACTCCCATTTCTTTTTCAGTTTTGGTTTTTCAATTTGACCTACAAAAGCTTGCGCAATACAGATCTGACCATGCCTTGTCATTTCTAGCTATGACGTTTCAGAAAAAAAATCGCCCTGTTGCTGAAGAATCATACAGATTCATAAATATTAATCAATATTAATATTTATACTATTACATATTGTATAATTGCTATAAGGTAGCTATTATTATTATTCTTCTTCTTCTTCTTATTATTATTATTCTTATTAAAACCTGATGTGCAGAGAAAGAAACAAGGGCGGATTCAGAATCCGATCCACTATCAAGAAAAAAGTACTTGAAGTAAAAAAAAGATAGAAGAAAATTGCAGATTTGTGGAAATTTTACTTTCTGTAATGAATAGCAATCCTGCAGTTGTGTTTGAGGATTTAATGTTCAAGTTCTACCATTTCAAAGAGTATCCGAATATGAACAAATGACCAATGCTCTTTAAGGTGATTGGATGAACAGGTCAGTGGGTGTGGCCTGTGCAACCGAGGACGATGACGAGACTGAGTGAGCTTGTGTTTGGAGGTGCGACACTGAGTTAGTTGACAATTAAACCAAATATCAATGACATCATTTTTTGATTGTACTCGACTCACCGATCATCACTTTAACGTCGACTACAAAAAAAAAAAAAATCAATACAATTATTTTACACATTCTGCATACATATTTTGACCTCGTCTACGAATGAAGCTGGCCCTTCTGTCCATTTTGGACATCAAAAGTGGCCCTCGAGCACAAATGTTTGCCCCCCTCGAGCTACAGAAAGGAAAACATAATTTATCCGTGCTGAGAAGTGTTGAAAAGGAGGCGGGAAGGGAAGATGTGAGTGTTGCGGCAGTTACCTGCAGGAGATGCGCCCCCAGGTGCTGTTCAAAGATGTCAGTGGCCAGAGAATGTGAGGACCGTCTCACTGAAACAAAGACACGAACACACATCAGGAACACATGAAGGCAAACAAAAAAACCATGAAATGAATAAAGACATCTAAGCGGAAAAGACTCAAGGATAGCGGTCAGTCATCCCCCAGAGATTTTACCGTATTGTCTAAAAAGACACATTCTTCTCATAATCAATGATATGAAATGAATAAATGATGCTTCGAGGCCACATTATTTTCATCCGTCCATCCATCCATTCTCAACAACACTTTATCCTGATGAGGGTCACGGGGGGTTGCTGGAGCCTGTGCCAGCTGACTCTGAGCAAAAGACGCACTCCCCTCTGAACTGGTCGCCAGCTGCAGTCAAAGGGCACATAGAGAGAGACAAACGACCATTCACACCCACAATCGCACCGTCACTGAGTGGGAAGCGATCCCACGCTGCCCGCACACAAGTCGGGCGAGTGTACCGCTACGCCATCAGCGACTGCATTATTTTTTCATCAAAGTAAAATGAATACTTTTAATTACAGACACTCCAACAATTCATGTGAGAACAAGCTGGGCCAGTATCAGTCATGTGTGGGTGGCATCAAGCATCCCTGAAGACTCAGCACATTTTGTCATAGTTAATTACAGTGTAATATCTAAGGAATAGATAGGATTAAAAAAAAATGAAATAGCTAAGGAAATCATTCCAATATAAGAGTTATTTTCTTATTTTACATTAGCAAAGACAAAAGCAAGAATGGGGAGCAGCTTGACATTGAAAAGCTTATCGAGCGTTTGATATTATGTTTTAATATGATTTGAAGGCTCCATGCGTCCTTCTGAAAACCTCGTACACATAAGAAATTCCGTTATGCAATCTTTTTTTTTGTGGGGAGAAGTTTGTACAAACTAAATTAGAATCCATCCATCCATTTTCTGTTGTGAGGTGAGCAGAAAGCCAGTCAGTCTCCGATATGATCACCATTTTCCTCATGCAGCGCAACACATCACTAATGTTGTATGTGAATTCTAGCGACTACAAACTTACATAATTATGCCCACTCCTAATTTATTTACTTGATTGAGTGAAGAAGGAGGTGCCTTTTCCATTTGGGTATTTATTTGAATTGTGGATGACGCCCCGCGACGCCTTGGTCCATTATTTTAAGGAAACTGTTGCTCTTCACAAAACAAATGGGCTGTTGAATAATATGCAGTTTCTGTCACAGATTTGAAATTGTTGCAGAAACGCAAAGCAATCATGGTGATGAACACATGCAAAAAATGTAAATGTACTAATAAGTCCATTGAGCCTTTTTCACGGCAAATCTTTGAAATGAATTTGATGGCACGCTCGGTCAACATTAGATCGCATAAAAACGTCATGTCCATCACACTCATAATCAAGCAGGAACAAGGCTAAGTAAAAAGTGACGTTTTCCTGATCTGAATGTACTGGAGAATGCCATCTTCTTTACCGTGGCTTTGCTTTTGTGGACCTTCTCATAGTGTGCTTCGATCTCATTTTCCCCAGGACATATTCACTTGGAAAAAAAACGGTTGTGCGCGCGTTAAAAAAGTGTTTTATTTAGTCGCAAGATCAATGACAAATAATGTGACTCCAAAATATTCAAGCGGTGTCTTGAGAAAGGTGTCTAACCCGTTCTGTGACCACTACGCTTGTACAAAGCCTCTGAAATAAAATTTTTTTTGTGTGTCTCTGCACTACTGTAGCACTCTAAAATATTGTACTTCATAAAAACATACAGTAACAACGACATAAATAACGTGGAAAAAATTAAGCCGTTTTTGCGATATTGTTTTGCTTCACTTCAATGAACATGGTCCTGCTCCTTCTTGTGTATATGCCTTGGCCACCTGGGGGCAGTGTAATACAGACACAGTGACACGCACGAAGAAGAGTTATCACAACTGACTGACCAATAGTCATTTTTCCAAAAGATAAAGAATATGTGTCTGCAAATATTGTTATAGTGTCTGTTTCTGTGTTGCTCCACCATTTGTGTTCAAATATGTGCTGCTAAGTGGTTATAACACGGTGACACTGGTGCTATTTGTTAGCCTGTCTATGGCATTCTCTATTGTTTGTTAGCATTATTCTAAACACACTTAGATATGGCAAAGCCATGTGGTTGTTTTAAATACGCAACGTGTAATCCTTTTTATTTTATGTTAAGTTTGAATGTCAACTTAGGGGGTGTCAGTAAAGAAGAATTGTTCACTGCCAAACTGCTTATTTTTGTGAAGTATGTCAACATACACCCATATCTCAAATGTTTTTGTCAAAAAATAAAAAAATTAAAAAACAGCTGAACGCCTGCACGTATCTCACAAAGCTCGTCTCTTGCAATAAAAGGCACCAAAAGCCACAGAATGTACAACAAAAGAATAAAAGCATTGTGAAGTATATATTTTTTTAAATGGAACATTTTGAAGAGCAAGCACAACAGGATGCATTCCACTCAATCTTTTAGTGAGTAGAAACTATACGCACGCACACACGCACGCACACGCGCGC